CAGACCCTGGGACCTCTGTCCCCCCTCTCCACCCCTGTGTCAGTGGTGTGTCTCAGACCCTGGGACCTCTGTCCCCCCTCTCCATCCCCCTGTGTCAGTGATGTGTCCCAGACCCTGGGACCTTATGTAATGGGGTCCCATTGTGAGTCCTTTGTGTTTTGGGGCTCACATGGTGGCCCATGTCAGAATTCCCTCTTTACATAAGGGAATATACATGTACTCCATGTATATGGTACATCTTTTAAAAAATGTATCTGATAGCAGCGCCTGTGGCTCAAAGGAGTAGGGCGCTGGCCTGATATACCAGAGGTGGTGGGTTCAAACCTGGCCCCAGCCAAAAAAAAAAAAAAAAAACCTGTATCTGCTGACAGGTGTTTGGGTCATGTCTGCCTGTTTGACCATCATCGGAAATGCTACTGTGCTCCCCGGTGTGTGACGTCTTAAGTCCTTGTTGTTCAGCCCTTCTGTTTGGGCTGTGTGCTCTTGTGGTCTGACCACTGGAGGAGCCACACGCGCTCGGCAGTTGGACTGTTTCACTCCCGCCAGAGCGCCTTACAGTTCTGATCTCTCTGCCAACACTTGCGTGGCCCAGGTTTGGTTTTGCTTTGGATGACGACCCTTCTGCTTGGTGTGAGCTGGTGTCTCGCTGTGGCTTTGACTGCTCTCCCTCCTGACCAGAGACACTGAGTGTCCGTCACCTGCCTGTTGGCCCTTTGTGTGTCTTCCTGGGGAAAATGCTGAAGTCTGCCTCTCGGTTCCTTAGCGCTGCAGCCCCCGCCGTAGCCGCCGCGGAGATCGTTGCCACCGCCTCTGAGCAGAAGATGGCTGTGCCTCCCACGTATGCTGATCTTGGCAAGTCTGCCAGGGATGTCTTCACCAAGGGCTACGGATTTGGCTTAATAAAACTTGATTTGAAAACAAAATCTGAGAATGGATTGGAATTTACAAGCTCAGGCTCAGCCAATACTGAGACCACCAAAGTGACGGGTAGTCTGGAAACCAAGTACAGATGGACTGAATATGGCCTGACGTTTACAGAGAAATGGAACACTGACAATACACTGGGCACTGAGATTACCGTGGAAGATCAGCTTGCACGTAGACTGAAGCTGACCTTCGATTCATCCTTCTCACCTAATACTGGGAAAAAAAATGCTAAAATCAAGACAGGGTACAAGCGAGAGCACATCAACCTGGGCTGTGATGTGGACTTCGACATTGCTGGGCCTTCGATCCGGGGGGCTCTGGTGCTGGGTTATGAGGGCTGGCTGGCTGGCTACCAGATGAATTTTGAGACTGCAAAGTCCCGAGTGACCCAGAGCAACTTTGCAGTTGGCTACAAGACTGATGAATTCCAGCTTCACACTAATGTGAATGACGGGACAGAGTTTGGTGGCTCCATTTACCAGAAAGTGAACAAGAAGTTGGAGACTGCTGTCAATCTCGCCTGGACAGCAGGAAACAGTAACACTCGCTTTGGAATTGCAGCCAAGTACCAGATCGACCCTGATGCCTGCTTCTCGGCTAAAGTGAACAACTCCAGCCTGATAGGTTTAGGATACACTCAGACCCTAAAGCCAGGTATCAAACTGACACTGTCAGCTCTGCTGGATGGCAAGAATGTCAATGCCGGTGGTCACAAGCTTGGTCTAGGACTGGAATTTCAAGCATAAATGAATACTGTACACTTGTTTAAACGATTTTGCAGCATAGCTACCTTCAGAATTTAGCGTAATCTTTTAATGTTGTATGTCTGGGTTGCAAGTATTGCTCAATATCATGTTAGACCTCCAGGTTAAAGATGATTCAGCTTTAAGGTGTTACCCTTTCAGAGGTACAGAAGAAACCTGATTCCAAAAAAGGTCTTCTCAGCTGTAGACTTGAGGGGAACTTGGTGGCTTCTTTAGAGATGCCAGGTTTCTTTTTTATCTAGAAATGGCTACAAGTGGAAGCTGATTATATGTAGGCACTTTGTAAATTCATACTGAATAAATGAATGAAATTGTGACTTCCTGAGAATTGAACCTTGGTTTTATAACCCTAATTGATGAGAGGCTCATTGCTTGATGGTGTGTACAGACTTACCAGAAAGGGACTTTTATAGACAGATATTCATGAACTGTTCCCACCTCAGTCCATTATCACCTCTTTTACACCAAAAGGTCTGCAGGGTGTGGTAGCTGTTTCTTTTGTGCCATTTTGGGGTGAAGAGGGTGGATGTGATGAAGCCAATAATTCAGGACTTAATTCCTTCTTGTGTTGTGGTTTTTTTGCCCTTGCACCAGAGTATGAAATAGCTTCTAGGATCACCAGTTATAAGCTGGGAAGTCTGTGTGATTGTGATCACATGGTGACAACACTCAGAATCTAAATTGGACTTCTGTTGTATTCTTACCACTCAATTTATTTTTTAGCAGTTTAATGGGTATATTTTAGAGTCTTCCATTTTGTGTGGAATTAGATTCTCCCCTTCAAATGCTGTAATTAACATCACTTAAAATAAAACTTGAATAAAATATTGAAACCTCAAAAAAAAAAAAAAAAAAAAAGAAAATGCTGAAGTCTTTTGCCCACTGTTGACTTGCTGAGTTGTCAGAGTTTGTCTCTACTTTCTATGTTCTGATTAACTTGAGAGTTGCTGTTGGAATGATTTTTTTTTTTTTTTTTGCAGTGTTTGGCCAGGGCTGGGTTCGAACCCACCACCTCCGGCATATGGGGCTGGCACCCTACTCCTTTGAGTCACAGGCGTTGCCCAATATTTTTTTTTTGTTGTTCCCTGTTGTTAGACCCAAACATTAGGTTGGTGGGTTCTGTGTAATCCTCATTTTCCGGCAGGTTCTCTTTGCCCCTTTGCCTAGAGGTGTAGAATGGAGCAGAGACTCTCAGAGGCGGGGGCAGTGTTCAGGAAGGACAGCTGTGGGGGCCGTCCCTCTGCTCTGCCTAGGGGTCTCTGGAAGCAGGATCCTGTGGGATGCAAGTGGGGACTCTGTGGGGTCTGACTGGGTCCTTTTCTCCTAGCACTGTGACCTCGGCTGTGTTCACCGTAGGAGACAATGTGGTGTCCGGCAGTGATGACCGCACAGTGAAAGTCTGGGACCTAAAGAACATGAGGTCCCCCATTGCTACCATCCGCACAGACTCCGCCATCAACAGGTCTGTAACCACTTATGGCCTGTGATGCTCAGGCTGACGTGAATGGGTGCTCGTGGGTCCATTCTCCATTGTGGAGATTCATTGTTTGAGGGGTAGAGCCTTGAGGAATATTTTTTATTTCACCCTCTAATGCTGTGTCGGCATTCCTCAAATACTTACAGTCACTCAGTTAATGTCATGAGATCTGTAAGAACAAGAATGATCCATTGTGCCAGGTGTGGCAGGGCTCTTGGTCTGTTGGGTGCACGTATAGGTGTCTGTGTGTCTTGTAGTTACACACAGCACCTCGGGCTCTTCTCTGATGCTGTAAGCAGATGACAGCTGGGCTCATTGCCTGTAATGTGAATGATGGGAGTGTCTCCTGTGTCGTCGCCTGTGAACTCGGAAACCTGCACTGTCTCTATTTCGTGGCCAACTCACTTTTATCTCTTCTTTGCAGAATCAATGTATGTGTTGGCCAAAAAATCATAGCCCTCCCGCACGACAATCGGCAAGTGAGATTGTTTGACATGTCGGGGGTACGGCTAGCCCGGCTTCCCCGAAGCAGCCGGCAGGGCCACCGGAGGATGGTGTGCTGCTCTGCATGGAGCGAGGACCACCCCGTGTGCAACCTGTTCACCTGTGGATTTGACCGGCAGGCCATTGGCTGGAACATCAACATCCCTGCACTGTTACAAGAAAAATAGGGTCACTGGTTTTGTCTTTTGCTGTGGACCTCTGCCTGGTGCAGGCTTCTGTGCGAGTCTGACCCTGAGAAGGGTGCTTTGTCGTGTCATTTCTACACCGTGCCCAGCTTGCATGAAATGTACAGGAACGTGTGTCATATGTTTATTTCTGTCTGTGTGTGTGTCACATCACTGGCATCCTTAGGCCAGTGCAAGTGAAGCCCACCTTCCATATGGCACGTGCAGTACTCATGAGCTGTTGGTGTCCGGCAGGTGAGCAGCAGGGCATTATGTGTGGGATTAAATGTGAATCTGCGTACTTTTCTTGTGGCACACGCAGTCCTGCGTTTCTGGAATAATTACACACGTCTACCTTGTACGGGGGTGCAGGGCTGCTGGTGACAGAGATGAGCCCCAGTGTCCTGTTTACCCCTCAAGTTCTAGCACGTGCTGTCGTGTGATTCATCTTCAACTCAAGTTTCTATTATAGTTCTGTAAAAATGATCTGGATTTTAGAAGTTAAAAAAACAGCGCAGAATGTTGAGTCCGCAACATTTGAGGTTTGTTTTGAAAAGCAATGTTTTTCTGCTTTTTTTTTTTTTTTAAATAGAAAATCATTTCAATTTCCTGAGGTCTCATATTAGAAAATTTAAAAATTGGATTCTAATCACTGATTTCAGATAGTAAGCAAAATTTAAAGCACTTTAGTTTATAGCTCTGGTTATAAACAGGTTTTAGAAGTTTCAAGTGACTCACCCATTTGAATGTGACGAGACGGAGACGAGAGGCCACTATGGGAGGTTTCGAGTCTCAGGCTCACGGTTTTGCTGGTGTTCCAGAGCCGACTACACCACCTCAGTGGACACCTGGGCAGCTGTAGGTCCTGGGGCCTTGAGAGAGCACCTTGATTTGTGGCTGGAATACAGAAGTCAACCCAGAAGGCAGGAAAGATGCCAGGTATGTCCCACGTTAGGCTTGTGCGGTGACACTGGAGCCGGTGGCAGGTAACACGGGGTACTGCCCGGTGCTGACCTGCCACTGTGGGAGTGAGCTGCCCTCTGCCTTTGTAGAGATCACTGTTCTTCTGATGTTTGTGAGTTCCTCTCTTAAGTTACAGTTTTGTTAAGGAGTCATCTCAGTTCTTGCCCCTTTAAGCATGTCTGTTTGGAGACTGGTCTCTGGAGGTGATTGTCTCTCACCATTGTGTTTTATCTGCTTTGTGGTGATGTGGGAGTGTGACCAGTGGGTAAGTGGCAGAAGCCATTTGCAGAGGTATAGCAGGACAGGGTGCTCTGCTGTCCTCTGGAGGGTTTAGGCAGCAGTCTGGGGAGTGCCTGGCCTCACGCCCATGGGGGCTGCTCTCAGACTGCAGAGCTGAGGCATTGGGAGATTCTGGAATGACCGGCCCAGCCCAGCAGGGAGGGGCTGAGGATGACTGATGTCAACACAGTGCAGGTTAGAGTGTGCTAACTAAGGGACAGGCCATGTGCATTTTAGAGTCATTTCTAAAGCTAAAAATTTGTTGTATTTTTAACATCTGGTCCTCTCCCCTGACTCGATGGTTTTGGGGAACTGAAGTCAGACTGGTTACTCTGGCTGCCCTGCATGCATCCCCTGGGGAGCCCTGTGCCACTGCCCAGGGGTTACTGTGCCTGGGGCGTTCTGCATAGTGAGAGGCTGATACCCCACCGAACACGTGGGGGCCAGACACAGGTGACTTCTGGGAGCTGAGGTGCATAGCCGCCTGCTCTGGTGCCTGAAAGTCGATGTCTCAGGATGTGGTTAGGAACATTAGAAAATGCATGTAGTTATCTAAATCAGACCTCAGAACCAGATCTCTGTCTGATTAAAGAATTCTGAAGCTTTAAAAATAAATATTTATGATGGCAGACTAGATGGTAACGGCTCAGCTTCTCCTAGGGGCTAGAGGGACCAGACCCAGACTCCAGAGCCAAGGCTATGCACACTCCCTCAGGGCCCAAACCCTGCTGGTGCTCAGGGACCCCCTTGCTGCTGACTGTGTGTTACCCCTAGTGTGGTTGCCTCCTACTCCTTCGGGGAGATGGGCCCAGTGTGTGAGTGTGTGTATGCTGGTACAGGCATTTGCCTGAGTGTGTGTGAGTGCGTGAGTGTGTAGGCATGTGTGTGAGTAGGTGTATGAGTGCAAGTGTGTGTGAGTGCAGGTATACGAGCATGTGTGTGAGTGCAGGCCTGTGCACGTATGCATGTGCATGCGAGTGCAGGTGTGTGTGTACAAGTGCAGGTGAGTGAGCATGTTAGTGTGTGAGTGCAGGTATATGAGCATGTGTGTGCGAGTGCAGGCGAGTGTGAGCATGTGCAAGGGCAGGTGTGTGTGTGTTCAGGTGTGAGCATGTATGAGTGCAGGCGTGTGCATGCAAGTGCAGGCATATATGTGCAAGTGAGTGTGAGCATGTGTGTGAGTGCAGGCTTGTGTGCACATGTGTGCCTGCAAATATAAGTGAGTGTGTGAGTGCAGGCATGTGTGTGTGCATGTGTGTGTGAGTGCAGGTGTGTATGCGAGTACAGGTGAATGTGCAAGTGTAGGCGTGTGTGATTGCGAGTACAGGTGTGCATGCGAGTACAGGTGAGTGAGTATAGGCATGTGCGAGTACAAGTGGGTGTGCAAGTGCAGGGGTGTGTGCAAGTACAGGTGAGTGTATGAGTATAGGTGTGTGCAAGTGCAGGTGTGCGTGCAAGTGCAGGTGTGTGTGTGCGAGTACAGGTGAGTGTGACTGTGTGTATGTGAGTGCAGGTGTATGCGTGCTGCTGACCTCTCGAGTTGTCAGTTTTGTTCCATGTGCTGATGTGTCCAGAATTTCATTTAATAACGGAAGGAACATATGTGCTTACTGGAAAATGTGCATTGGTACAGAACTTCGTGAGGGAGGTGTTGGGCACAGCAACACTTCTCAGCCACCTTTTCTTATCAGTGTTGGTAGAGTCAAAAATTCTGTACATATTTTGGAATCTGAAGAATCCTCATGTACATCATTTGTTACTTAAATCTGTGAAAAACATGTTTCTTTGGAGAAAAAAGTACACATTTATACATGTTGTTTGGAATCGGTTGTTGTATTGATGTTATTAAGTGTTCATCGTCTTTATTGCAATATGAAATTCATTAAAACATCCATGTTCCATGATTACTATTACAAGGCTTTTACATTATTGGGAGTCTCTTATTTTTATTATTTTATTATTTTCACTGTTTTCATTTTCTTTGGTGGAACATTGTTGGTGGCTATGTAAACACCACAGTGATCCAGAAATCGAGCAAATACAGTATTGCCCATTTGAAACATTTTAATTTTAGATTTAAGAAATCAGCTGCTGTGTCTCCTGTCCCGTCCGGCACACTGACATTGACCGACATGTGATTTTGCTGCTTTGTCCTCCATGCCCAGAATCTCTGAAATGCTTGACAGTTTGACATAGTCTCTAGAAGTTAAGGGTCCTCACATCACCGTAAAATGCCTGTACTATTCTTGCTGAAGTAAGCTTGTTTGAAAGTAAAAAGTAAATCACAGCAGCACGGTTTTTTTGTGGGAGAGTGCTCATCAGGACTAGCAGTAATTGGGGCCAATCGCATTCCAGTCCAGTGAGTGAAGTGCTGTAGTCACCACAGCAGCCTTGGGAGGCATCAAGTCCGGCTGGCTGTGCCCCTGGGGAGCAGCAGCCACTCTGGCCTGGGGAGACCTGCTTCCTCCCTGGTAGGCTCTGGGAGGACTTCAGACCTGGAGGTAGTGCTCTCCTGACTCCTTCCCTTCCTTCTCTTCCCTTCCTTACCTTACTCCTCAGATCGCATATGATTATTGTCTAAAGTTTATTGTTTTGAAAGTTCATGTTTTATTAGTGTGGAGTACTGGTTGTTTGGTGGCAAGGCCCCCACAGTCTGGGAGACGTTCATGGAATGACCCCCAGCTCCTCCTCTGCCAGAAGTCACGTAGCCCCTACATACTTTCCCTTTTATCTTTTGCCGGAATGCATGGAGTTTTTCATCCCTAAAGTTAATCTTTACCCCATGTACTAGAATCACATTAGAAAAGAAAAGAAAAGAAAATTGCTTTTGCTTTTTATAGTTTTTTTTGAGGCAGAGTCTCACTGTGTCACCCTTGGTGGATTGCTGTGGCACCACAGCTCACAGCAACTTCAATCACTTGGACTTAAGTGATTCTTTTGCCTCAGCCTTCCAAGAAGCTGGCTTTGGGAGTGTGGTTAAGTAGAATTATTGCAGAGAGACTGTAGAGAGTATTTTTACCAAGTGTTTAAGAATGACAGTGAGGGCAGCGCCTGTGGCTCAGTGGGGAGGGCGCCAGCCCCATATGCCATGGGTAGTGGATTCAAACCCGGCCCTGGCCAAACTGCAACAAAAAATAGCCGGACGTTGTGGTGGGCACCTGTAGTCCCAGCTACTTGGGAGGCTGAGGCAAGAGAATGGCCTAAGCCTAGGAGTTGGAGGTTGCTGTGAGCTGAGTGATGCCACAGCACTCTGCCGAGGGTGATATAGTGAGACTGTCTCAAAAAAAAAAAAGAAAAAAAAACCCACTAGAGATTGTAGGGTCAATGCTATTCATTTAGACCGGTTTTTACATTTTGTTCCTAAAGTTTGTCCTTGGTTTCCCAAGGAAGGCATGGTCAGTGCAGCAACTTGGGATAAACTAGGAGAGAAATTATGTTCTCATAGTACTACTAACGGTCCTTCTTGGGCTCTAACTGATGCCTTTGCTCTTTGGGGTTTGGTCTGAGAGTGCTCAGATCTCAATCATGAACAGGGACGACCCCTTTTATCAATAAATTCAAGTGTTTCTCTTTCAGCCCCTGTGAGTGACCCTCCACCTCCTGAATTTTGGAAGGAATTGCGGAACAAGGAGTGTAAATGTGAACAGGAATGCTCCCCTCCCTTCAGAGGAGAATCCTGATTCACTGGGTTACTGCTGCCGTGGCAGGAGTCCACGTTTTGGATCCTCCTAACACCGTTGCTGTTCAACCCAGTTCCAAATTTCCTAAGCCTCCACCACCACTACCTTTTGTAAAGAAGGATGACATATCCAAATCCCCCTTAAATCTCCATCACGTCCCATTCTACATTGATTAACGTAACCATCACCTCACTTGCTTATTTGTTGTGGTAAGACATTTGTACTCTAGTGTTAATAGTTTAGAAATGTACCATTGTATTATGCACCTTAGGTGAGGTCCCACCAAACACCCTCCCTCTTCCTGGCCTCCCCCTCCCCTCCCTTCTCCCTCCTCTTCCCTTTTTCTTTCTGGACTAAAGTTATGTTTTATCATTCATGTGAGTGTGTAGGTGATTATATGTTGGTTTCATAGTAGTATTGGGTACACTGGATACTTTTTCTTCCATTTTTGATATACTTTACCAAGAAGGATATATTCCAGCTCCATCCAGGTAAACATAAAAGATGTGAAGTCTCCATCCTTTTTATGGCTGCATAGTATTCCATGGTATACATACACCACAATTTGTTAATCCTTTCATGGAATGATGGGCATTTGGACTGCTTCCATATCTTGGCAATTATGAATCAGGCTGCAATAAGCATTCTGGTGCAGATGTCTTTGTTGTAAAATGATTTTTGATCCATATACCATTTCTAAACAACCTTTACAAAAACTTCAGAACAAGCCCAGGACCAGGGTGAATTTCTTTCTTTTTTTGGAGACAGAGTCTTACTTTGTTGCCCTTGGTAGAGTGCCGTGGTGTCATAGCTCACAGCAACCTCAAACTTTTGGACTCTAGTGATACTTTGCCTCAGCCTCCTGAGTAGCTGGGACTACAGGTGCCCACCATAACTACCCACCTCAGCCTCCCAGAGCACAGGGCTTACAGGTGTGAGCCACTGCTCCTGGCCTCTTTAGGGTTTTCTAGATATAAGATCATATTGTTAACAAACAGGGATAGTTTTATTTCCTCTTATGTCTTTCTCTTGCCTGACTGCTCTGGCTGGGACTTCCAGCACTATGTTGAATAAAAGTGGTGACAATGGGTCTTCCTGCCTTGTTCAGTACTTTGGGGGAAATGCCGGCAACTTTTCCCCATGCAGGATGATGTTGGCTGTGGGTTTGTCATGTGTGGCTTTTATTATTTTGAGATATGTTTCTTCTATGCCTAGTTTGTTGAGGGTTTTATCACAAAAGGATACTGAATTTTATTCAGTGCTTTTCTGCATCTATTGAGATGATCATACAGGTTTTTTTTTTTTTTTTTGAGACAGAGCCTCAAGCTATCCCCCTGGGTAGAGTGCCATGGCATCACAGCTCACAACAACCTCCAACTCCTGGGCTCAAACGAATCTCCTGCCTCAGCCTCCCAAGTAGCTGGGAACATAGGCGCCCGCCACAACACCCGGCTATTTTTTGGTTGCAGCTGTCATTGTTGTTTGGTGGGTCCAGGATGGATTTGAACTGGCCACCTTAGGTGTATGTGGCTGGCTCTTTAGCCACTTGAGCCACAGGCACTGAGCCATCATACAGGTTTTGTTTTATATTGTGCTAACTTGGTATATTACATTTGCCAATTTTGCATATATTGGGACCATCCTTGCATTCCTGGAATACAACCTACTGGGTTGTGGTGGATTATCTCTGTGATGTGCTGTTAAATGCACTCAGCTGATACTTTGTTGGGAGTTTTGTGTCCTCGTCAGGACAGTGGCCTGCTGTTTTCTTTTTTGCCGTCATTGTCTGACCTGTCATGGCCTTGCTGTCAGGGTGATTCTGGCTTTGTAGACAAGCTGGGGAGGCTCCTCCTTCATCTTCTGGAGCAGTGTCAGTAGGGTTGATACCAGTTCTCTGCAGACCTGGGTTCGCTGTGAACCCCTCTTTCTGGGGCTTTTTGTTGGGAGATGTTCTCATTGGTGATTTTAGTCTTGCTGTTCATTATTGGTCTGTTTGGTATTTTCTTCCTGATTTAAGCTTAGGAGTCGGTATGTTTGCAGAAATTTATCCATTTGCTCTGGGTTTTCTAGTTCAGGGGCACAGAGATGTTCATAGCCATCTCCAAAGACCTTCTGCATTTCTGGGCATTGTTACAGCAGGTGTCTCCTTTTTTTGTTTCTGATTGAACTTCTTTGCTGGGCTAATCTAGCAAACAGTCTATCCATTCTTTTTATCTTTGAAAAAACAGACTTTTGTTTCATTGACACTTTATGTTGCTTTTGTTCGCAGTCTTGATGGTTCTTTCTGCTTCGACCTTCGTGTCTTGCCTTCCACCAGTGCTTGGTCTGGTTTGTTACTGTTTCTCTCATCCTGGTAGCATTAGGTGGCTCATTTGTGATCTGTCTTTTGATGCTATGAACTGCTTTTTCTGTATCCAGAGATCTTAATGTGCTAAGTCACTATTTTCATTTGTTTCAAGATGTTTTTAAATTTGTCTTGATTTTTTTGTTGACCCAGAGATCATTGAGGAGTAGTCGTTTAGTATTTTTGTAATTTTGAAAGTTCCTCTGGGAGTGGATTTCTAGTTTTATTCCACTATGGTCTTAGAAAATACTTGATATGATTTCAGTTTTTAGAAGTTTATTATTGGGACTTACTTTGTGGCTAAAATATAGTCTTAGAAAATGTTCCATGTACTTAGGAGAAGGATGCAGTCCTATAGTTTTGGTAGAACGTCCAGGTAATGTCTATTAGGTCCTGTTGTTCAGGAGTCCAGTTTAAGCCCAGTGTTTCTTTGTTGATTTTCTGCCTCAGTGATCTGTCCAGTGCTGTCTCTCGTGAGGGACCCAGCAGAGAACCAATTCAAGAGCTTAATCTCGTTCATGATACCTGCAAAAAAGAAAACCTAAATGACACCTCTCAGAATATATTTAACCAAAGAGGTGAATTATCTCTACATGGAAAACCACAAAACACTGATGACATAAATGGAAAATTACCCCATGGTCATGTATTGGAAGGGTTAATACTGTTGAAATGACAATACTGCCCAAAGTAGTCTATAGATTCGGTAAAATTCCTGTCAAAATGCCAACATCATTATTCACAGAATTAAAACAAAATTCTAAAATTCACATGAAACTGAAAAAGAGCCTAAATAGCCAAAATGGTCCTAAGCAAAAAGAACGAAGTTAAAGGCATCACATTGCCTGACTTCAA